GGGGGGAGACCTTGCTCCTGGGGTCAGAGGGGCACAACGCCCCCCGTCTGCCAATTATAGCCAAAATATTTTTGTTGGGAGTGAAAGCAAAAGGGGAGGGGGGAGAAAAAGGAGGAAAGGTGCCCCCAGAGCAGTGCAGGCTCCAGCCTGCACCCCCACGGAGGGGTACGTGCCCTGCCCCCCCTTCTGACATTTGCTTCCATTTTATTTTATCCTGTCAGCCCCCTCTTTAACCTTTGGGGTTTAGGGTACTTGCTGAGGGTCCCCTGCAGCCCAGGGCACCCAAGCCCATGGGGCAGCCTGAGGACCTCGGGGAGGAGGTGGCAGTGGCACTGGCAGTCCCTTAATACAGCACAGGGACAGACCTGGGCCCTGTGTCCCCTCCTTTCATGGGGCACTCACCCCAAAGAAGGGGTCCCCGTGGGCAAGGATGGGGTCTTCTGTCGCCACAGAGCTGGGGCGAACAGGTCCCTCCATCATTCCTCCCCCTGGGGACGACCCCCACCAGAACAGCAGCCGCTCCAGCTGTGGGGACCCTCCTGGGCTGGGTGAAATGAGCTCAGAAAAAAGGAGCTTTTCACCCATAAATCCTGACTGGGTTTCACCTCCACCCCTCGCATGTGGAGTTTCCCCCCTGCTGCCATTCCAAGGGCTGCAATAAAGCACTTCACAAGCCTGGAGACACCTTTTCTAGGCAAATAAAATAATAAAAAAAAAAAGAAATAAAGGCGATAGCGCAAGGGGTTAAGTGGTGCACCAGAAATAGAAGAGGCTGCTGCCGGTTGCAATTCCCACCTCAAAGTCATCTGAAAGTCAGGCACAGCTGCTTTTAGAAACACCACGAGCCCCAGCCTCGCTGCCGACTGAAGGTCATGAGTCCCTTCCATTTCCCCGCGAGTATCGTGACAGAAAAACACCGGGTGACAGAAACAAACCTGGAGAACAACCGGCCTGGTCCGCTGCTGGTGGGAACTGCTGTGCCCACCCCAGCCTCCCTCCCACAGCCTCCGGGTGCGCCCACCTGACAGCCGTGGGGCTGGAATCGTCACGGAGCACGGACGATCCCTCGCATGAGACGCGGCACTGGCGTGCATCCGTCCCAGGAGCCCCATGTCCAACGGGGCTGTCGCGTGGCCAACCCACTCATTCTTCCGTTTCTTCTCCCACCGGCAGGAGCAGGCCATCGCGCTTTCCGTGATGTCCTTCTGCTTCCTGATGCCAGCTGCCTGGATCCTGGCGCACGTGGAGCACTACAAGAGCAGATCAGATTAAGCCGTGGCAAGAACAAACCGCGCCCGGCTGGGAGCAGAAGTATGAGTGAAGAGAAGACCATGGAACAGCTCTTCACAGGGAAGGAACCCGCCGAGTTTGTTCATTAAATTCATGTTAGCGTTCAGCGTAACGGCGTGTTGGTTTTGCTTCAACTGCGTGCTTGTTCACGGGGGACCAGACCTGCTGCCGGCCAGCGTGCCGGCCCAAAGGCAGTGCTCCTGCCCGAGTTTGCAGCAGGCTCCAGCAGGGAGACACATTTCCCAGCAGAGCTTTTACCTTGTACAGTTGCAGCACAGCGTAGGGCAGATACCAAGGAACCCCTCACAGCACGAGCACGGGTGCAAAAATCCAGTTAAATTCCCAGCGAGAAAATACTCAAAGGCTGTAAGTGACATTTAGAATGGCCTGCGGTCTGGGTGCTGCACACCTGACCTCCTCCTGCATGAGGAACCTCTCCACCCCCCCAAACACACCCCAGATCTCCTCAACTATTTGTGTTGGGGCAGCAGCCAGCCAGCGCTTGCTCCCACCCGGGAAGGTCGGGGTAGCAAATACCCCCAGATATCTCCGGAACGACTGCCGTAACTGACTCGGGCTGCAGATCTTCATGCTGGCTTCAGTGAGCTGCTCAAGAACGCACCCGCAGCGAGCGCTCCCCGCGGCACACGGGGGTTGTCAGAAGACTCTTGGGAGCCTTCGGCGCCGTTTTGCCAGCCAGGCTCCGGGGTTTCTGACACCCACCTAGAGCGACAGCAGCCCTGCGACGCGTCAGCTTGGCCCCATGGTTGGCGTGTCGCTGACTCCTAACGGGTAGCCACATGACACTACTGAGGAGATTGTGCTTTTTGAAGCCCCTTTTCCCGTCCTTAGCTATGAAATAAAAGGAGTATTTTCCCAATCAGAACACTTGTCTCCTCCACACGCTCTTCTGAAGCAGTACCAGCGACACCAGGAATGAGCTTTGGAAGACAAGATGCAGCACGAACGAGGGAAAGCCAAAGTGCAGAACACAGGAGGAGAAAACACGGTGGCTCAACACAGATTCCAGCAACCGAAGGAATGAGGGCAGCACAAAAACCTGATGGATGGGGTGGGGAAGGGGCAGGCATGCAGAACCCAACAACTTCAAACACGGAAGAAATTCAGGCCAGAACAGCTCAGAGGCAGCAGGGTGGAGTGTGAGCAGGTGCAGGGCCCGGCAATTGGATTATTTTGTTCTTTTTAAAAAGCTTAAGTCTTCCTTGCCTGGGGCATGGTGGCACCTGCAGCCAGCATCAGCCATGTGCGGTCTTTTCTCCACTGCTGGCATTGAACCCTCAGAGTCAAGACAGCGAACTAGAAGAAGCATACAAAGCGTGAGAATTCCAGCAGTGCAGTTTGTTGGCACAACTCCGGAGAATCAAGGCGGTAACCGAGCTCTTAAATCACAGCAGTAACCGCAGGGCGCTGCAAAGCAAGGACTGACCGCGGATACATTGGCAGCAGAGTTTAAAAATCCACTTAGACCCTGACAGAGGCCACGGTCTGCTGTTACTGCCTGATCATCAGGAGCACGATGCACCCAAAGGGATGCCTGGAGGGAGCCTCCAGATCAGATCTGCCTTGGTTTCAGTTCTTGATGTGCCCCATTATCTTCCATCCCTATGAAGACACCACAGTAGGGCAAAACAATTACGTTACAGAGAGTTTTTAAGGTAGCAGAAGGCAGGAGGCAAAAACAGAACAAAAACTTGTTGTCTGGGTCTTATTTAGGCCTTTTCAGCCAGGAATGCGTGCTCAGCTTGAGACAAGGCACCAGGCCTCCTGCTTCCCACAGCAGAAAGGAACTTGACCACAGAGTACGCACCAAGGCACTGCACACTAAGTAAATTACACACCAGCCCCACCGGCCATTAACAGGGCGCTTAAATCTGTACCGCTCTTGGGCAGACGGGTTTTGGAACGTTAAACTTCAAGGAGGAGTATTTTTAACCAGACCAGAGGCTCAGCTGCCAGTTACAAAGACAACAAACACGGAACTACAGAAAAGGGAAGGCAGAGAAGTTTATTCCAGCAATACTGCTGCACCTCACTTCAGCACAATGTGTTCGTAAAAGACAACCACCCCCAAAGGTATATAAAAACACATCCACTAAACGGTAATCCTGGAAAAGACCCTTTGATGGAGTAAACACTCCCTCTGCTGCAGATGAGGAGGAGGGGTGGCGGAGAAGAGGGCGAGAGGAGACAGATGATTACAGCGATGCTGCCTTCGGGCTGCTGCAGGGACAGGGGGAGAGAGGTTACCGGGGAAGGCCGCGCCCTCTTAAGGCCAACACCAGGTATCCGTCAGGCACCTCTCCAGCGTGTTTCCACAAGGAAGCTTCTGCTACCCCTTGTACCTGGCAAAGGGCCTCCCCTCCTGTAACATGCAACCAGCATCACATCCTCCCACAACAGCCTGATAACAAGATTGACAGATCAACCACCGCGGAGCCTCTGTCCTCCTTCTACGAGAGCAGGATGGGCGCTCTCGCAGCCAGTGCCACTAATGTTAGCGCATAGGGGAATCTTGACTCCAAGCACCAAAGGGTTACACAGCAAAAGGCCACTTACTCCTCCCAACAAGCCTCAAAAAGCTGCTCTCCCCTCTGCCCACCCACCCCCCTTCCGTATAATTCAGTACAGAGTCAGTGGTCTGAGCTCTATGTTAGGATGTCATGAGCTTGGTGCTCCACCAACATCTCCATGCTCCTCACATCCGTGCACCAGAACTCCAGGCGGTCTTTCATCCCTTTGATCTGCAAGGCAAGCCCACAATAACTTTAACATCTCAACTGTTGGCAACACCGACACTTGCCTTGAAGGACAAACCCTTGAGATTCCAAACTACTCCTCAAAAGCCCACACATCCAGAAAAGATGCTACTGGACATCTTTGACCATCAGAAGGGCAACGTTCAAAGTTAAATTGAATAAAAGCAACTGTTTGCAGCTAGCACTTTGTTTGGGGCGCTTAGGCTTGAAGCAGCCACGCAGATGTCTGCAATCCTTCTGGAAAGCACAGTCACAGCATTTGTGGGAGGAGGAGCAACACTAACATCCGAATCTATCTCCCAACGAGTTTCTAACTGCTTACTGCCAAACAGGTACAAACCCACCAGATACCCAAGGTAAAAGCTAAAGGCGGCAACGTAAAAGGGAACGAGGAAAAGCCGTTCCCTGAGCAGCTTCAAGAAGCACCAAGGACACCAGTTCTCAGACAGTGACCCTTTGCAGTTCTGACTTCAATTTCCAGATCACCTCACACAACGGAACAGGTCAGTACTGCCTTAACAGGCAAGCTGGTTGTTACCTGTTGTAAATCCAACACGCGTGGCTGTACCCATGTCATGTGTACCCGCTTATCGACTTCGTCGATACTGCCCTTCACCAAGCCTACCGAGAGCGCCTTCATCACCAGCAGTTCCACCTAAAAGTAATTTAAAAAAAAAAAAAAAAATCATTCAAGGAAACAACTGAGAATCACCTAGTTCCCCCCCTCCCTGAGATGAATAAAACCTTTCAGTGGCACCAGCTTTTGGAAGACTGTCCACTACGCACAATGAAATCAAGGGCAGCTGCAGCCTCTCTCACACCCTCTTCTGGGTTACAATACAGCCTTGAGACTCGACATCTAAATACACAGGAGAGATTTCTTTTCCCTAAGAGCAGATGTATTTTCTTTTCCCTTCTCCAAAATCCCAGGAGGAACAAGGTCATTGGAAAAAGTCCACAGGGATTTACATGGGTAAGATGTGCTTGACCAATACGATTGCCTTTTTAAACTAGGTCAAAGCAAGCACTGTAGGCACCCTGTACCTTTCTTTTAGCAAAGTGGCCAACAAGACCTTCTACCACATCCTTGTTGACGCTGGTAAGCTACAGAGCAGACAGAACGACCACAAGACGAGCGGAAAATCTACTGCGCTCAAACGGCAGTGGTTAGGGGGCTGAAGCTGAACAGGCAGCTGGTCACGAACTTCAGCTTCGGGGCTGATAGCGATTTTTCAGCTAGCTCGCTGTGGTTGAACATGACACAACCCCTCCCTCGCCGCCCCTCCCCGCCCCCACCCTGAGGGATGGGGGAGAGAACTGGAAAAAGGTAAAACCTGTGGGTTAAGACTGTTAAATGAAACGGCAGATGATAAGAAGTATGAAAGCAGGTGATGCACAATGCAACTGCTCACCACCCGCTGACTGACGCCCAGCCTGTCCCCGAGCAGTGATCACTCCCCCAGCCAACTCCTCTCAGTTTCTATACCGGGCATGATGCTGTAGAGTATGGCGTAGCCCTTGGGCCAGTGGGGGTCAGCTGTCCTGGCCGTGCCCCCCCCAGCTCCTTGTGCCCCCGGCAGAGCAGGGGAAGCTGGAAAGTCCTGGACTGGTGTAAGCCCTGCTCAGCACCAACTGAACCATCAGTGAGTTACCAATATTCTGCTCATCTTAAACCCAAACCACAGCCCTGTGCCCACTGCTAGGAGGAAAATTAACCCTGTCCCATCCGACATAGGTGGATGAGTTTCACAGATGACACCCAAATGGCAGAGAGAGGTAGACGTGCTGGAAATAAGAGGTACCGTGAAGAGAGACCTCAGCAGCCTGGGCTGGCACGAATAACATGAAGAACAATGAAGATAAGCACGGGGTCCTGCACCCGAGACCCAACGGTCCCAAGCAACAGCACAGAGGGAGGTCTGCCTGGCTGTGGTATACTGAGAGTACGCTCTGTCGGAAAGGGGCAGAGTCTGGGGTGGGGGTGGGGTGCGATGCAGTGCCCAGTTTTGCAGCATCCCCTTTCAGCTTAAGGGGGGCGCTGCAAAGCCGGGGAGAGTCTAGCAATGGGCCACTGAGATGAGGATGCTGAGAATTTGACAGGCTGAAGAAACTGTGTTTGCTCAGATTAGGGAAGAGGCAGCCTGGGGATACCTCACCACGGCCCTCCTGTACCCAACAGGTAGCAGCAGGGAAGATAAGGGTACTACTTTCACAGGGATGCACAGTGAAAGGACAAGAGACCAGAGGCAGGATTTGCTTCAGCAGGGACTCCATCTGGATAACAGAAGAAAATTCTTCACCGTGAGAAAAATTAAACATCCGTAACATTTCCCCTCATTGGAAACACTCAAGATGGCTTGGCAGGGCCCTGCGTAACCTAATCCAAAGGCCTGCACTTTCGAGAGCACGTGGGAGCAGATCACCTACAGAGCTCTCTTCCAGCTTAAGGCTATGACTAAGGACCTTCAAAAATTTACTTGCTGAGAAACAGGAGCACCAAGCAGTTAACTCCTCCTTAACAAAGTTGTCCAAATACACATGAACAGAGGAGAATATTTCTACCTGAGTTCACCTATGGAGTAGGACTTTCCAGACACTTACAGATCTTCGGGACTTGAGACATTAGTAAGTCTGTCTGACCCCAAACTCACCTCATTGACAGAGACTTTGGCACTCTTGGCAATCTCTTCAAAAGTGAGCTGCCTGTGATTGGCCGGTCGGGTGAAAGTCATCTGAATTCAAGTAAACAAAACAAAAAATAAATCCCACGCAGTTTTAGTTTCTTCCAGCAGCACGCACAGCTTCCCTCGTGCTGCCCCACTGAGCTCTCCACCTGCAGTAGCAACCGTACTTCTCACTTAATCAAAATACCTCAAAGAATAAAGCATTTATGCCAGCAGAAAGGAACAGCGCCACTCCCTCCTCCACACACACCTTGCTGCTCCAAGCAGCAGATTTCCTGGGCAACAACACAATCAAGCAATAAAATAAAGCAGAACAATCTGTGTTGAAATGTCTCGGTGCACATCAAATCCCCGAGATAACACAGTACCTACGGGTTGTAAAACTCGTTCACAGTAGTAACACTGGAAGTGGAATGTATACACATTAACACATACACCTATCGGTGCGTGGAGGTGTACAAACGTACGTTACGCTCCAGACAACAAAAAAATTTAAGTTTTTGAAAAAGATCCAGGGCCACGGAGGTTTACACACCAGTATTACACGGCAACAGCAGAGCCGAAGTGACAGGAAAGAAACCATTCAAACATTTGGGTTTACCCAGCAGGGAAAGGGTCTTCAGTCTTTAGGAAATGAAGCTTTAACTGTGTTTTGGAAGCCTTTGCTATACTAGAGCATGCTTCAAGAGCTGTCATTTCAGAGACCACCCTCAAGACACAAAGCTCACTCTTCTCTACCCCACCTCCACACCCTGCCTGAAAGAGCACACCCCGAAATGCAAACAAGCAGCACACCACGAGGCTTCCCTTCCCAGCAGCACCGGCCGCCTGGCACCACCTAGAGGCAAAATCTGCAGTCGGCCATACCCACAAGTTTCTGCAAGACGAGTGGATGAGCGCACCCAGCAGAGCATAGTGTATTTTAGCAGTGCTGCCCCCACTGGAAGGTCGCTGGAGCAGTCCCGTTCCATTTCCCACATCTAACACACTACAGCTCCCAGCTCACCTCCATAAGACACAACAGCTGAATCTTCTGCAGCAGCAGCGCTTCGTTTGCAGCCAGATCTGGCTGTAAGAGGATAAACCGGAACAAGTAAGTTTGTTATGACTTTTTTCTCCCCCCGGGGGGGAAGAAGAGCATGCTACACGCAGGAATAAGCCCCACGGGGACCCGCTACCCTCATTTACGAGGGACAGGGCCATTACAACCCACCCACTGTTGGGTTAGGCACTGGCTACACAGGCCAGAGCCCTGCCTCACGAAGCGCTGCGTTCAGTTGTGTGGTTCTTGTTCCATAAAACAAGTCACAAGAACTGCACAAGTGAACGCAGCGCTTCGCGAGGCAAGGCTGCCTTTTATCAAAGGCCACCGCTTCCCGCAAGCAGGCACGCAAGTCAATGGGTAAATCACTGCTCTAGCCCGTGTAGCCAATACCCAACCCCAATGTTTTCCCCAGACTTCCTAGAACAGAGGGGAAAACTGCTGGTTTATACTGGGAGCAGTTTAATACTGGGAGTGAATGACACTAGGGAAATTAAATCAGAGATTATCTTCCTGCGCAGGACTGCAGGAAGTTTTTGTTTGCTTCCCCCTTGGACCACAAGATATTTCTCTCTACTTCTTTCAATCAACCAGGCACAGAGGGAAGCCAAAAGAAAACTAATGGTACCTACCAAGATGAAAGATCGCTGCTTCTATGATTAAAATTATACCAATGCACCAGAGTCAGGAATTCTTAAGGTAAAGGTCTGCAGAACCTAAGCATCCTCCGTAAATACTGAGCCTAGGCCTTAAGCAATATAGCAGCTCATACGCTCACCTGCTGACCCCACGCCGACTTCAAAGCCTGAAATGTCTCTACGTTACCACTGTTGAAGGCATAAAGCGTGTCAATCAGCCACTGCCGATCAGTGTTTCTCAAGGACTCCAGAACGGGGTGCATGAGCTGCAGAAACCAGGCAGGACAGCATTAACAGGGTAAAATAAATCCCTGATACTCAGTAAGTGAAGCAATGCAGCATCAACTCACCAGCTCCCCAAAGTTGTAAACACCTTCTCCCAAGAGCCCTGCCAGCCCCAGGGTAAAGGCTCTCTCCTGCTGCTCTGATACTGAAAAAAAAAATAAAAACCAAACCTCAACAACCCCAAAACAAAAATAGTCTGGATGAAGGAGCAGTCAGCCCCAGCAGCCCCTCCCTCACCCCCCTCTCCGTGCCTGCATTAAATCATTCCCAGCCCTCCTTCTCATCCTCTCCCAAGCCTGAAATTCAGAAGCCTGCAGTAACAACAGCAGCAGCACAGAACGGCCACTTTTTGAATCCATATTTAAGATTTTTGGGAAGTAGAACAAACTATTCCTTCTGGTGGGGGCACTTCCCCCCTCCCATCACCTCAAGACAGCTTAGGAGCAGAATCCTGCTCAGCCACTCATTCCTCTTGTGGCTTCTTCCTCTTTCTAGCTAGATCCCGGCCCAGCTACAGCAGATTCAAACCAACGTTGAGAAAGCCCGTTCTCTGCCAGCACATTTATTTAGAGCACAGTGGTGAAACAAGAGGATGAAAACTGGGACTTTCTGTGCTCGGCAAAGGAGGAGTTACCTGGCAGATCTTTAACATCAATGCATCCCAGAAACCGTAGAGCGTCCTTGTAGTAAGAGGCATGGTTCCCAATCGTCTGGTAGTACTTGCTGGAGAGATCATAGAAGCGGCTGTGGACTGAAGTCACCCCAGGGAGATTGTTCAGCATCTCTTCAACCTCCTCAATGGTCTCCTAGAGGAGGGTGAAAACCTGTTTGTTACAGGTGAGGGTACACCTCGTGCACACCCGTGCTCCCAGCCTTCTTGCTCGCCCCTGTAAGGGTTGCAGCACTCTTGTGTGGTCCAGAAGTAACACCCTCTCAGCAGTAAAGCGGGTGAGATCACAGTATTAAACATAAAGCAACAGCTTTCTTCCTTTACAGAGTAGTTAGGTAAATCCCCCCCCAAAACTACCCTGCAACTGTACTTATATACATACATATACACATGCACATGCTTTATATATGCTTATACCCATCAGACTTTGTATTTGCTAAGAGACAAAGCTGCGCTGCATGAAAACCCCCTCATCTCAGCTTTAAGAGATGGCTCTAAACAAAGCCAAGAGATGAAATAAGCAGCACGCTTTGCACAGGAAAGGATACACTAATCTGGTCACCGTGAGCGGCTCACCAACAAGCAGCACAACCCCCCCCCCGAATTCGTCAGACCCTCTAAGCTGCAAACTGGAATATATCATGGGGTTTTTCCCCCACCACCACCCTCTCTTTTGAGCTGTGCATACCAACAGTTGTGGTGATCAGCTGCAGGCCACCAATAAGCAAGAGCACCTCGAAAGCTACGTGCATCAGAATCTTACTGAGACTTCAGAGACGCGGCTGCGAGTACTAACACGCGCTCTTAGGGGTTATGAGATGGAAAGCGGAACCACAGGTCTCCTGGAGATCCCAGGAGCTGCAGATTTATCATCTCCTCGTTCAAAACTGAAGCACAGACGTGGGCAGGTCCACGCTGTGGGAATGGCTGGAGTGTGTCACAGTGCTCCAAAACACCCAAATGCTTGAACTACCCAAGTCAGCACCTCACCTTGGTGACCTGCAGGTCTCCGATGTTCAGCTTGAGCGCCCCAATGGCTGTTTTACACAAAATGACCGCTTCATCGCTGCTTTTTACCTGCAGTTACACAGAGATACGTGCTTAGAGCATCATCCTGGCAGCCAGGTCGGCTCTCAAAGCCGAGGCTGTGCTGGTTGCATTTCATTTGTTAACACGCTCCTGCATTAAAATGCAGTTTTTCACTGAGAAAAGGAGTAGGTATTCCCCGGCACAGGTTTCAACACGCACATATCTGCCTCTCCAGCTGCGCCATACGTGCTCATACGCAAACCAATGCCTGCAGGTGGACTACCAGAAAAAGCTATTTCAAAAATACCTTTTCTCGAGTCTTTTCCAGAAAGGTAAGGGCCACATTGGGATCTGAAGTAGAGGGGGGAAAAAAATAAAATGAGCAGCAATATCAGGAATTCTGGTGGAATTAAATCTCAGCCTAGAAATAAATCCTTTTCCGGGATTCATGAATACCAGACTATTTTTTTCTACAGCGTACCGCTCAAACCTTCCAAAGGTGCTGCTATCGCAGGCCAGGTGTTCTGCTCACCAGCCACTTCTCTGGTGAAGCAGCACGCCTGCGACTCCATGCAGCAGTAATTATTTAAGCTCTTTGAGTTAGCGCTTTCCCTTTTCAATACACCAGAAAGACAATCATGTCACACAAAGTGTAGCCATTAACTGGCCAAATTTCACAGGCATCAGCTGCTAAAAATACCGTAAGGGGTAAGGACACTTACCTGTCATCTGTCTGACTACGTGAAGAATGATCTCTACCAGGGACAAGGGGTTCACCCTAGAACAAAAGCCTCATTGTCAGAAGCGCCTGAGCCAACAGCCAGTTACCTGAAGACTTCCAGGCAAACAAACTCACCTGTGTTCAAACTCACTGATGAAGTTCTCATACAGCTGTAGGCACAAAGATATCGACAGTCAGGGCAAAAGGATATTTTGGTTCAGCTACGACACTCGCTCTCTGCTGTATTCCAATTCACTTTTCCAAAAAAAGCAGTGGGCATCCAACTACACGGGACAGAATCCAGGAGCCAAAATTTGCTCTTTTTAGGTAATTCTACCTCTGCAGGCTCCTTCCAACTGCAACGAGCAATTCAAGAAACTCACAAGCTAGTAGGTACCTCAGTCTCCCTGCTATGGCTGGCCTGGTGCACGCCCTCAGTTATCACCGTACGATACACACAGGCCTAAAGTTTTCACATTTCTCTTTGCACGCATTTGGAAAAGAGCCTCAGCTCTACAGGGGAAACAACTATCTCCTGGGAAAAGGCTCCTTCCAACTGCAACGAGCAATTCAAGAAACTCACAAGCTAGTAGGTACCTCAGTCTCCCTGCTATGGCTGGCCTGGTGCACGCCCTCAGTTATCACCGTACGATACACACAGGCCTAAAGTTTTCACATTTCTCTTTGCACGCATTTGGAAAAGAGCCTCGGCTCTACTGGGGAAACAACTATCTCCTGGGAAACCAAATCTTAACCTAAAAACACAAAGGAGAGCAAAAATACATGATTGCTTGTGGCATACAGAGAACATGCGACTCTAGGCCGACTATGCTGTTATCATCCTAAATGAAGAAGCACCCAGACAGCAGGTGAAACAGTGAAATAACCTGCTGAATACTCAGAGGCACTTGTGAACACCTGACAGTCCATCCTACACCTGCAGTTGTGAACCCTTTGTTACAAAAGGGAAAGAAAAAGGCTCCTCTTGCACCCCCAATAATAATAATAAAAAAAAAATAAATCTTAAGTGAATTAAATTACAGAACCACTGTGAAGCTTCCAAAATTGACACCTTTAATTCCAGCAGAACTTCCACACAGCAACCAAACCCTGCCCACTCACATCTAGCGCATAAACCCCAGAAAGCCAAATTCACTTAGTTTAATAACTCTCCAGAGGTGTGTCACAGGCTGTTTATTTTCCACTAGCACAAAAACGCCATCGCTCATCTTTGCTAGCGAAAAACGCCGGGGTGCAATCAGGCGCCTTACCTTGATGAGTCCATCGCCTTGGGCAAAGCAAGGGTCCTGAACAAAGTCCAACACTTGCAGGGTCAGCTGGTGCCAGAGCCTTAGGGAAGAAGGTCACCCAGTGAGCTCGCACCCCCGCCAGCTCCCCAGCCCACACCGTACCCCGTCTCTCATGCTCAGAGCCCGCCCGGCCCTGCGGCTGCTAGGCCTCACGACGGTGACAGATCAGAGACAGAAACGGGAGCAGGCAGAGACACACACACACACACCCCCCAAGCGCGCATGTAAAGTAACCCCGGGGAAATAAGGGGAAAGCGGGCTCCCTGGTTTTCCACAGCTACGCCCGTGCTGGTTGAAGGCGCCCCGAGTCACAGCCCCGGGAGTGGCCTTCAGCCCGGCGCTCGGTACCGCCA